TATTCCAGAGTCCTTCTTCCTGGATACAGAAACCTGCTTCAGATATGTCTGTCACTCAAACAAGTGTGTTAATAATTATGTCATATACACTCTGATAAGGGTTATAAACATAGGGGAACATCTTTTTCTCTCTCAATATTTTGAGAATTCCTGAATTAATGCCCCAGCATCTGGTCTACTCTAACAGAAAATGCTGTCTCCAGGTCCTTGCTTCCTCGTCCTGCCTGCTCTACTTCTTGGCTTTGTACTGAGATAGTGTAGGTGGTGTGTCAGTACTGTGTAAATGTTTTGTGGTTAAAAACCAAAGTGATTTGTGTTTATAAGCTTCAAATTGCCTTCCTGACAAAATATGCACAAGCTGAAAGCTTCTGCTCATGTAAAATTGTGATGGATTGCATTTTATTGGAACTTATGAATAGCTCTTTGAAACAATGAACCCTTTAAATGCCTTTAGAAATTATAGTAAGATAAAGGTATTGTTCTCCCTTCATCACCACTGTCAGAGAGTGACAAAAAAGGCCTGTTTTTCAAGACAGACACACACACAATGCACACTCAGTCCCATATAGCCATCATCACACATTCAAATTTATAGAAGATGACAAATATAATGTTGAATTTTCTAAGTTGGTATTGGATGGATGCCTGATTTTCAGATATAAACTCTTTTGTAAGTACACAGAATACATGTCTATATCAGAATACAGACACTATAAATATATATACGTACAAAATATAGATATTGAACTTAAAACATTATAATCCAAAGACATGCAACGTCTATGAAAAATATTTCAATTTTTTCACATTTAGCTGATTTAGTTAGTGTCCTAGAAGAAAAAAATCCCAGAGATGAATATATTTTCTCAGAACTTTGGTGTGTGAGAATTTATACAGATACACCTTCAGTTTTCACTTTGTGTTTATTTATACCCAACAAACGTCATTTTCATATTTCAAACATTTCTTTCAGGTGGAGGTTACTTGTTTTAGCATTCCCAAGTTAAAGGGGGTATAAAGCCAAGGGAATATATAGTAAAGAGTATGTCACTTCTTTCCATCAGATTCTGTCAAAATGGAAAACTTTGTGTTTCACATGTATGTATATTTAACAGGAAAACAGGGGAAAATAAGAGAGTTAAAACTGTTTGTGAAAGCTTGGGTTTTTTCTGGCTAGGAAGCTTTTAGTAGCAGTAGTTAAATGTCGAATATGATTACTCAAAACTGCTGCTGAACACTGAAAATAAAGTTGAGCATACTTGTGAAACAATTTCAGAAATTTAAAAAGTAGTAGTGCATAATTTATCAGTGTTAATAGCCTTAGGTGCATTTCTGAGGTAATTCACCTAAACAGTCAACAATTTATCACATCACAATACAGAAAATGTATTTTTAATTAATAAATAGACATTCTATTGCCTTTACAGCTACAAAAAAAAATCAATCCTTCCTTACCTTCTGCCTATAGTTTGGGTTCCTTTAATGGGTTTTAATGGGTTTTATTCTATGCTCCCTTAGCAAAGCTTATTCATTTGCTTCCTGGAAGACTTTCTGTATTTTGTGGCATAATCTCAGTGTCTATAGGGTATCTGCCTTATAACTTAAAGCATCATTCATTACTCCTGAAATGGCACTCTAGCCTACCTTGAAGTAATGAAGTTACTGTAATGTATTGCAGTTCTTGTTAACTGGCTGTCTGTGAAGTCCTTAGGTTTAAACTCTTTATTGGGAAAATAGGGTGTTTCCAGTATTTCTGAATGGTTAATGAAGTATTTCACTTGCATAGTCTCAAGACAGTTGGCAAAAGAGATCTTTATCTCTTACAGAGAAGTAAGTCAGAATTTCTAACAGAATACAAAAATTTGTTTATTGTCTTACCTTATTATTATCATTTTACAATTATTAAACTTCAGGAAAAGAAAAGTAAAAAGCACAAAAGAGTTCCAACAATGTAACAGTGTGGAAAAAAAATGAGGAATCAGGTCCAAACCAGTAACGAAATGTTTATAAAACCACTGAAATTTGTGATTTGTCTACCTGTAATGTTTTGTCAATTTATGTAACCTACAAAACAAAAGAATAATTAAATTGTATGTATTTATTTAAATATTTCCCAAACAACTCTCTCATGAGCCATGATATCTGATTTGCTCCTTGGGATAGTTTTTCATAGGCAGCACTGCTTAGGGGAATCTCAAGACAATCTTATAGTGTTTTCCAGGAAAGGAAAATGACTCTTTTATGTTTATGTAGAGGAAAATGACTCCTGATCCCTTATATGCTCTAATAATGTTAAGTACATAATAGTTGTAGCTGAATATCTGTTTTCCCCTTGTTACAGAACTGAATTCTGCCTCTACAGGAATGAATTAGACTTCACTTTATGAGAGAATACAAAACACCTGAATAATCTCTCCTCAAGGTTGTATGTATGCATACAGCTATTTAGACATAGGTGAATCCTCTTTAGAAAAGAACCAGTGTAAAAATAATTATTATAGATTTTTAAATCAATGTAGTTGTTTCAAAATGTGGGAGTCAGCATAAGCCCTCATGAAAACATAAAGCAGATAGAGGTTTTTTTGGAAAAACTGTGATATGACCGTTAGACAACATGAATAAGACAAATTACAGATGCCTTTAATTAAAAGAAGAGAGATGAATACACAGAAATATGTAGAGGCAGAATGTCGTCAAACAAAATGTAACCTGAAATGCTAACACACAGAAAAATTCAGCTTCAAAATTCTTTTTTGTTTTCTGCTTCTTTTCTTAATAATTTCCACACCTAAAAGTGCAAAAACATATCTCAGGTATTAAGATTGTAATTCTCTTTCTTACTGCTCGCAGCTGTCCTTTCACTCTGTATTAAAACAAGGTGTCTGGATATTTACTATTTCTCTACACTCAAATCTCTACTTCTTTTATAGAGCTAACCCACTGAGCTCTGTAAAAACGCTAAACAAATTTACATTGACACCAGCTGTGATCCATACTCAAAAATTTATTCCAAGAACATACAAATTTTAGAATTTAACTCACCCTTCCCAAGCCTAAACTGTTGCTATGGCAAGTCCTACATGTTATCTTACAAAGGCTGCCACACCTCAGATAAAGAGCCTTGTGTGTCACAGGTAGCATGTGTGAATAGAAGCCTGACTCAGAGATGGAAATCTTTCAGTTTCCACTTTTCTCTCTTTATCAATTATTCTCAGATTTTTGACACAAAATTTTCAAAAGTAATAGGATTTTTGACAAAGTTATTACAAAGTAGTAGCTTAAATACCCTGATTTTATCTCCAAATAGCAGTATATCAAGAATAAGAAAGATGGAAGCAAGTTTTTTGATAAATTTAATCATCAAAGTAGTGTTTTGTGGTTGGGCTTTTCTCTTCTGCTTCCTGCAACTTCCAAGTAATTCTAAAGAATAATGTAAAAGTGAGTCCAGTTGAGTAAAAGGGTAGTCATCCCAAGAAAACGGCCAAAGATCACCCTTTTTATGATTGCAAAACTGAAGTAGTTCCATTGCCAATTGCTGTGAAATTTCATCTTTGAGTGTTTATTTTGCTTTTGAGCATTACTAACTTTGAGCCTTCTCAGGTAAAATTAGCCGTTGCTAATGTTCTGATTGCAAAGAATGTTGAATCTAAATTTTTCTTATGTTAAAATCTTCATATCCCAGTCAAGACTTTTTACAAAAATCAAATTATTTCATTACTTTATCATCCACCTACATAAATATATACCTAAACCTTAAGGATCTGTGATGAAATAAAACAGTATTTTGTGAGATAACTTCCCACAACTTTGACTTAATTTTTGTTATAGACAAAACAAGTAGCTGCATAGGTCACTACTTCTAGTAGCTATAGCTAATATTCTGCATGGTGAAAAATGTCTTATGTATTTGTATCATCACAGATAGCTCACAGGATACCATCAAGGTGTTGATGCAAAACCTATTGTGTGACTTGTTCTTATACGTTTTTCTTAATGAGCCATATCCACTTTGAAGACAAAATTAGGTTACCATCAGACTAACATCATCTACAAAACATTGTAAAAAGGTTAAACTCTCTTAGATGGGGTTCCTGGATATTTATATGGAATTACAAATGCTCCTGTTAGAAGATTATCCTTGTAGCCATAGATTAAGGCCACTGCATGAACACTCTTTTACAAATCAATATTAATTAAAAATTATTATGATCAGAGAACTAAACAAAGGGCCTATGCTACCAAAGAAAGGGTATGCCCCAGTGACAGATCACTGTTAAAACCTCTCATGCCATTGGGTGATATTTGCCATATGTCCAATGATTGATAGTAAGATTTAATGAGTTCTTACAAGCAATTAAATAATCAAGGGTTCCTGCTGTTACATGGCATAGCTTGATAGAACAGTGACAAATGAGAGAATATCTGCAACCTAATCAAAGGGACATATTTCCTTGGGAACAAAATAATATTATCCACCAGTGCAATCAAAGGACAAAAGAACACAGAGAGGACGCAACAGAATGAGATAAATTTTGTGCTCTTTTCATTATTCTGGCCATACAGTTTCCATTTATTGGATCCTATTAAATCAGAAAGACAATTAGGATACTTAAATATATTTCATTTGTCATAAACTGTTAGCTAGTGGGTACATATCCATATCCAGTCACCTTAGGTCTTCTTTCCCCATGAAACACTATCCTAGGTTATGGTTTCTGTCTTTTTATTTGTTATTTATTTCTATTGTGATTACTGAAGTCCTGTTTTAGTTTGGATTTTGTTTTTGACTTTAACAAAAGGGATACAGCAAAAGACTGCGCTACATCAAATCTGTAACATATTTTTGATAAATGAATTTTTCTAAACATTATATATTATCTATATGAATATTAGCTCCACTTTGGATGTAGAATGACATGATTTTAGTATTTCTTGTAATTTCTTTTATATATTTTTATATATTTTTAAATTTCTTTTCACTAGAAACTCCAAGCTTTCCTTTTATTTCTGTCAAAAATAAATAAAAATATACCAAAACTAGACAAGTACTTATAGCTAAAATTTTCATTAGAAAATGTAAGCATCAGACTATAGTTATTCTGTATTATATTTTAGCTAGCTAGCAGGTGACTGGGATAAAGGTTATTGAAATGCACCAGACAACGAAGAGAACAATGTGCCCCTACTAATCATTATGTTCCAGTATTTAACATGTGATCCATCTTTAGACTGTGTAACACCTTTCTATGACCTTTCTAAATATATACTGAGCTTTTTCCTGTTTTTTTCTGTGTTGGTGGCATGTGGGAAGGGTGATGAACTCCTCTGGAGCAGACTTACCACATGCCAGGTTGTTTCATTTCCATCACAATTTCCCAGAACCCATTTCTCAGACTAGAGCGTAAGAAGCAGCAACCTGTTGGGGATGATGCATGCGCGCTGCATAGAACAACCTCCAGTGGCTTTGGTAGCTATTATACAGGACATTCATGGAATCTCAGTCATGGAATCATTCACAGACAAAGAATGGTTTGGGTTGAAAGGGACTTTCAAAGGTCATCTAATTCAAGCCCCTGTAATGATCAGGGACATCATCTCATCCTTGTCTCCCACTTCTAATGGAATGTGCAAAACTGTCTTACTAACAAAGTGTTTTTTCTCTCTTTTCCCCAGCTTTTTCCTAATGTGAGATAAGCACAAGCTGTAAAACCTTGGCATTTCCAAAAAATCCAGAATACCTGTTTTTTCCAGCCAGCTCTGTTTAACACTGAAGTAGCGCTGATTCTACTTTTTCCACAATCCAGTACATTTGTTTTGTTTTTCCATACACAAAGGGAAATTTTTTCAGAGTATGTATCATGTTTCAGACATTACTTATATTGCTTAATGTGCTAATGGAAGATGCTCAGATACTACACCAAAAAGTCAGTACATAGAACATATCAAATAGTTATAGAACCAAGTTAAAGAAATCAGCAAGCAAAATGCTTCTTAATTTTTCAATGATTTGAGTATATTTAGCTATAAATTCTCTTTTGTATGTCTTCTGAGCTAATAACAATTTTAAATAAAATCTACGATAAAGCCACATTTGATAAAATCATAATTCTTTGTTGGATTTCAGCTGTGGATGATTCTGCTGAAATCAGCAGTGATACATCATGAAAGTGAGATAAAGATGCTTAAACTAAGGAATGTTTTTAGATTAAGAAGATCCATTAGGTTTCTCTAAGTCTTAAAAATTACATTGTCCACCTCAAATTTTTGCCTTGAATTTTTGGTCAGCTCCAAATATGTCAGGTCAAGAATTGCTTAGATTAGTGGCTGAGGTGGTTTGGGGATTTGAGGAATCCTGCTGCTGCAGAACCACATGTGCACAATGGCTTTCATGAACCTGACAAGTGAAGCATCAATGTGGTTTAACATGGGGGTCTGTCAGATCACTGATCCATTGGATCACGTTAAGTCTGAATTTACGTCTGAGCTTAATGGGATCTAGTGAAGATAAACGTAATGAATCCTACATGTAGTGAGTGGCAAGAGTCAACAACTCCTACTAAAATAACAACTTGGTTGTTCCAGAAAACAAACAAACTCTCAAGAATCGTGGAGCGATACCAAGTTTTTGGCAGCACTAAGGAGCACTCTCAATCAATATATTCACAAAAAGTACACACCTCATTATATTCTGTACAGATTGCAAAGCTAGCTATAATGTAAAAACAGGCAGACAGTCTGTCTCAATATTATTACAGGAAGGCTTGGTTAAATTAATAGCTTCTCATTGATTAAAAAATCTTGCATTTTACATGTTCTTAAGTTGGTTCCCACCATTACCTTTCAATAACAGAATACGAGTCTTTGGAGAAATGTGGTCATATTGAACTACTGTATTGAAATATGAAGGTAGGCAAAATAAGCTGTTTACTCTAACCTATTGTTGTTTCCTGTCATAAAGTTCTCCCCACCTGAAAGATAAAGACAATCCCATCAATGCACCCTAACTTTTGTTCTTTGTGAATTTTTATAGTATTCCTAGACTATTACAAATGTTGTTAGTTTGGAACAGTCATTGAGCATGACTCCACCAAACCATTCCAGTAACTACTGAAAGTGAGAAATATTTATGTACATGTAGCATTTGCTATTATACACAACTCTCAGCTTTTGATTCTTTGTAAATCTATAAATCTATAGTAAATGTAAATCTATAGTAAATCCAGCTAAAATGAAAACACTGGTTCTGATCTACTAAAATACTTTTGAAATCATCCTAAGAACTAATGCTATGATTCTTGATAGCACAGAGTACTTTGCTAGGCTGTGTTTTTCATACCAATCATATTAAGTATACTGCATCCAAAACTGTTTGGGGAGCTTCTACATAAACCTATTCAAATGTATTTTACTGACATGCAATGTTGGAAGACTTTTCTCAGTGCCACATGATCATCTAAACTGAATTGAAGTACCGCAAACCCACAACATTTTTTTTTAAATATAAAGAAGTATTGTGATCTATTGCCCTTGTTCTTTTGTACTTCTTCAAACTTGTTCTGCTCCACTACCAATCTAATGGATCAGATGTTCTGCCAGTCAAACAGGAAAGGACACATCAGATGTCCAACAATGCCCTGACATATTCAGACCTGAGTTTCATCATACTAAGACCTGAGTTTCAAGAATAATGTTGCTTGTCTTAGTGTAATGCATATGTCTTCCTCTTTGTCAACAGAAACTCTAAACCAAGCAGCATGTCCTTGGATGCACAGTAAACAAATGGCAGCTGCCACATGTGCAATGTGACTAAGATATTGGGGTGTGAAAGGGAACAGGAGATTGACTTTATGGGGGCAGGACAGCTGTGTGATTTGCCTGCGTCAGACTTTGGTTTGTCACTCACAGTAGTGCTTTCAAACAAACATTTTCTACACTTTGTGGTTTACACCACTTTAGGGACTGATGACTGAACCAATTGAAGTGGCTGCCTAGAGGTATGGGATTATGTCTGGAATAGACAACAAGGTAGTAAAGTAATGCAGAAGCAGTGCTAGTTGCTCTTTGGGTTCTTTCTCTTAACAGTTCATGTAACTAGTCTTTGAAAGTGTTAACTTCAGCATCATCTAGATATGGTCTGTGCTTTTGCCAGTTGAGTTTTCACTACAAAATGTCTAGCAGATTACTGTCTCTTTAGAAAAACGTGAGTCCATATGCTAACTGATTTAACTTTGTTACCTTCCAACTCAGTTTTTCACAGAATCATGTCATTTTGTGAAACTCTCTATGGAAGCATTTTCTCCTCATATTGAGCCACTGTCCTGATTTTCTCTGCTGACCACAGTGGTGTGTGTGCAATCTGGCAGGGAGGCTTTTCCTTCCCATGAGGCTGAGTCCCTTCCAAGTCACAGGGGTCAAGCTGCATGTTTACCTCCAGATATTCATCTCGTTGGCTGTGTGCATGCTGACTCTTCCCTTTTTTTCCCTCTGTTTTCAAATTGTCAGAGTCCTGCAATACAATGAAAAAATGTTGCTTGGTTCTCAATGAATTCTGTGAAAGTACCAAAGGGAAAGAGTAAGCATCTATATTTGGAAAAAACACAAACTATTATTAGGCAGAGATTTTGGAAGTAGTTGTAATTTATCTGCTATCAGGAGCAATAGAAAACCATATGGATGATAAGAAACATAACCAGGGCAAGGTCCTTCCTGTGTCTGTTGACAGCTAATATGCACCAGGAGGGCAATGCCATATGTTTGCATGTACATTACCACGGGGGGCACTGACATATGTTCACACGTATGTCACCCCTCTGGCCTGCTGTCATGAGGCTGTTTCCAAAGGGGACTGCTCCCTTGAAAAACAGAAACAAAACCCAGAAGTGTGAGTCTCCTACATTCTCTTTGTCAGCCGCTTTTCTAGGAATATCACTGTCATTTGATGAGCAATCAGAACAGGTGCATCAAAGCAACAAAGGCTTCTGTAACCCTCTCCTATATCTCTTCAAGGTATTTGAATGGCAAAGGAAGAAAATACAGACATCCCACTGGAAAGTCACACCTGCTGGAAAAGTCATACCTGCTGAAATACTAGAGCTGCTGTAAGTCCTGAGGAGCATGTGCTTCTCCCAAAATGTTTCATGGACTGTTCTTTCCGCTTCCTTACAGGTTGGACACATCCTCATATCATGTCAAAAGCAGTTCTTGGAAGGATAAAAAAAAGAGTTTGAGAGGAGTGGCAAAGCAAGAGAATAAAAAGGTGGTGTTCATGATACTGTCTCCTGAAGTTTTGGGGGGTTGGAGATAAACAGCACAATTAGATTATCCCGACCATTCCCCTGGCAGTGCAATATTATTCCTTGCAATGTAATTTCTAGTGTTTTGTTCATTCCATTTAGTACTAATCCAAGCAGATAGCCTTTCTGTTCTATCTCTTGGGAGACCATTTATGCCTCAATCCACTTATTCCACTATTAGGTAGATTTTCTGAAATTTGCAGTGTATTTTTCTCTTTTTTTAATTTCCTTCCTCTCTTTAATTATCTCTTTTGGTGCAAATATGGCTCATCTTTATATATTTGCATTCCCTCAGAGGTCATCAAGTCTGGCACACAGAACAGGAATGCAAACCTCAGTATGAAATCTGCTTTTAGGAAAGGGTAACCTGCAGGATATTTTGTTTGGTCTCTGTTACCTAACTATGTCTTATTTGGTTTAGGTGTATTCCAGTATGCTAGTAACTTGATTTGAATGCTACTAACTATACCAAGGGCTCTCCGTGAAAGTTTAAGTAGGAGGATACAAAGCTTCTTCCTTGTTTTGTGAGAGCAATCCCATACAGGAGAAAAATGGTGAGTATCTTGCTCCAGACTGTGTGCTGTTTAAAGCCAAGTCTCACATTTCAGTATCTGATTGAGTTTATTTTCCTGCCTATAATTCAAAATTAATGAAACTATGCTTGTCTTGCACTTTTGTAAAGGTCTGGATGTTCTCTAGTTTTTCCTGTGACAAGACTATGATTTTGGCTTGCCTTTTTCCCTTTCTAGACATTTATCTACCTGTCCCCATCTTAGTGTTCTGAAAGCAGAATTACAGCAATTTCTCCTCCTTCAGTGCATGGAAGCTTCTCTGACCTTTAGGCAGCTAAGTTTATAGTTCCAGAAAACCTCTCAGAAAAACTTAGCAGGAAGCTATGAAAGAAGTAGACAGCTGAGGCAAATCCAGGGCACCACCAGAGAGTGGTCTCTGGGAAAAGTAAAGGAGTGAAAAGACAATGTGCTAGGTGGAGACAGTCCTCCTGTCCCTGGGAGGAGCTGGGTCTGCTCAGGATGGAAATTTCTGGATTAGAGGATGTGGCAGGCAGGACAGAGTCACAGCACAGAGACAGGGTTCGCAGCTCAAGAAGAACCACTGAGAGGATCAACAGTGAAACAGCTCTGGCTTCAGAGATGGCACAAACTATAAGTGCCTGGGGATCAGAGGCTACTGTGCACTTTGTGGCAAATTCAAAAGGCCACCAAGTTGATGGAAACAGAGCTACAAAGAACTTTTCATTTAGGGACAAAGTAATCAAGAAGAGACTTTAGCAGAGATTTCTTTTTTAAGCTTTTGCTATTTCTGCCTTTCCTAGAAATCCCAAGTATTCAACTACTTAAAAAAGAAAAAAAAAGAGAAAGAAAGGGAAAAAAAAGAAAAAAACCCAAAGAGTATTCTCCTTTACATATAGAGAAAACAAAGATATTTGAAGTTGATATTTGATGCTTTTTGTTCTTCCCTAGGTATCTCACCATAAGAGAAAAGTCCTAAACTCCTACACAAAAAGTCCTAACTCCAGAGCTAATACCATTTTTTAATGAGGCCACACAAGGTAAGGAAATAAAATTTGAATCCAGTAATTATTTTTAATAATTTTTAAAATATATATGCCTTTTTTTCTCTTTTTGTGCAGTGTTATGGAAGAGTTGAAATGGGTGCTCCACTTTATTTAATTATCATGCTGTTATGATCAACTTACATATCCTAATAAAGTTATATGGGTTCTTCACTCTTTATAGAGAGGACAAACAATACAAATTTGGTATCCAAAATCTCGTCTCCTCATTAGCTTAAATGAAACAGCGTTTTATCTTACTTTTGGTTCACTCTCCTACATTTGGCTTTAGGCCATCAATACTAGACTTAATTCAAAATATCAACAAGGTTCCTGACTGGGCCATAGGATGAAAATTTCTCATACAAAATTAGTAAATACTTTCAAATCCAAATAAATTTGACAAAGCTGTAATTGCCTTCCTTATGGATAATATACAAGAGGAAGGCTGAACTTGAATACATTATTTATTCAAAGTAATTTGCTTTATCAAATAAAATAGGTTGGAAGTAGAGATCAGTAATTGGTAAAAGCAGGTGCTGGCTAAGGACATGAACCCTAAGGAAAGAAGAGAAACATACCCTTGTTCATGGGAATGATCATGAAGGAGTGCAAATTGGACAGGGGTAAACAGTTGGAGCAATGAAGATTTTCAGTGTTGTGGCCAAAGACAGTAATATAAAGAAACACAAAAATTGTTTAAATTTATTGACTTTATTTCAAGATTTGTTTAAACTTACAAGAAAAAAAAAAGAGAAGAAGCCTAAGAAATCGTCGAAGAAGATGGTAGTCATAGTAGGAGTCATGCAAGATAATCATAATAGCAGTGTTTGTCTCCACACTAGTATTTTGAGATTTGAACTACAATATATGTAACTTGAGATTTATTCTTAAGATAACTTTGTTAGTTTACCTAAGACCTTTATACCCATGGAATATTGTTCCTTCTTTTGTGCTGAATATAGAATTGGTTGTGACTGTGATAATCAAGATATTCTACGAGTTCTTTCCTATCTGTACGACATATTTTTCTTTGAGTGCATGTATGTGCATCTCTAACAAATGGTAAAAGCATTTATTTTGTGAATACATGCTATCAGCAGAATATTGTAAAATATTATTTAAAAATATTATTTCTGTTTCTGCAGTACTTGTGCTTCCTACTTTTGTTTTAGTGGGTTTGAACTCCCATGGACAGAAGGCAAAAATATGATGTGACCTCTCTCATGTTTTGTTATTTGCATTGAATTCTGATTTAATCTTTAATTTTTACAATTCATTTTATCTCTTTCCTATTTTTAAAAGTTCAGTGAGAAGTAGACATTTTCCCTCCTGTATATGCCTATATAGAAAGCAAGTATTCATTTTTATCACCATGTCTCAAAAATTTTGGTTCATCTGGGGCTTGGCCAGAACTCTACAAACATCTCTCTTTTGCAAACAGGTTCTAGAGCACTTGGATGGGCTCAAATTTACACAGCATTTTACTACCTGTGCTCTATCTCAATGTTTTGCTCTTGCCTCTAGTGTCACAGCAGCAATAATCCTGTGGGCCTTGTGCTTGTTCCTGACAAATGAGCAGTCTCTTATTCACTTGACAAAAGAAATGAACTGTTTTGCTGTACTTCATTTCAGACACACAAATGTCTCGTGAGTCTATCTCCATGGAGATTGTGATACAACACAGCATCTGGAAATGCATTTTGAAAACTTATTCCTCTTTTTCCCCAGCACAATGAGCTATCCAGAATCTTGTGTGTTTTCTTAGCAGCATTCAACTGATCTCAAACCCCTTGAAACAAAGCTGGTGTCTTGGAAAAAATTCTCTATATGAGAAGTTTGGGCTACCTTCTTATTCTTCCCAATATTTTCATCATCATTTAAATAAGCAGGAATACTCACAACTCTGGGATATACCAATGTTCTCTGCCGTTGTTCATAATTTTATATTTACTTAGTTTTTGAAAGTGTTCTCTTGTAAAGAGTGGTAATTAATTGACTGTCTTTTGGAGGGTAAGATTTCTTTGTTTGTCATGTTATGTCTTGATTAGGGAGGTCATTCTTCTTATGTTATTTCTTGCATCAAGGGAAAATGAATCAGTTTTAATGATGGAAATGGCAATTAGTGCTGCTGAGCTATAGTTTCACGTTTTGACAGAGCTCCTGAACTTAATAAATTATGGATCAGTAGAGGGGGAAGGAAGGTCTCAAAACTTGCCTGAGCAGCACATGAACTGGTAGCACACTACATTGCATCTCCATTCAATAAATGTCCATTTCAGTCTGGTTTTGCGGTCAAGTGTGAAGAAGAAACATCATCTGTAATTAATAACAGTTTTTAAAAATCCATATGAACGCATGCCAGCACAAGAAATGAAACAGAGAGAAAAAAGGGCTTGGAAATGAGAATAACAAGTGCTTCAGAATAATGGTGAAAACCCAGACAACCAGTCTGTGGGGTGAACAGAAGCCTCCAACACTAAGCTTTGTGGGAAACATCTGAGCTACAGGCCTTTTTAGAACCATGTTGGACTCCATAGAGATAAAAAATGTATCATCACACAGGTTATTCCACTGTGTCAGGTAAGGCGCATGTTGCTTCCTCCATGTATCTGTGCATTTTCCCCACCAAGACTGTGAATACTCAAACATTTGTGGTTGAAAAAAAATACAAAAATCTGTTCTACAGTGTGTTCATGAGGGCAATATTTATTTTCACCTATACCCAAAGTATAACAAACACTGTCTAAATATTACTTATTTATTAGTACTGAATACTACTTTCTTAATAATAAAGCCAGGTAAATTTGCATGGCCACGTATTTAGACATGGATTTTTCTGGAAGAGGATCAGTAAAATATGGCTTCACAGAGGCTCTACAGAAACCCAAGAAAAATAATATATTAGTCAAAAGGATATATCTCTAACTTTAGAGCTTTATGGATCTATGTGTCCTTTTCCCTGTGGCTTCTTTGCTGCTTCTCTTTTCCAAGTTTACTGTATAAAAAAATTACACAAAGGCAGGGTATAGCTCAACTTGGGCACTGAATTTATCATATGAATTAATAATTAGCATGCTCACTGGCATAATGTTGGCATGGCATGGTTTGCAGAGTGAGTTCCCATCTGAGGAGTCTGCCCTCAGCAGACAGGCTGAGCACAGCCCCCTGCTCCAGAGAGCAAGGAGCAAAGCTGGCCTCAGTCACGGCTTTCTCCCAGTGTTCACACTGCAACACAGGTAACCTTTATAGCCTCCATTCCTGAGATATCTCATGGATTGAGAATATCTTCTCTTCACTCTCTCTGAAGTCCTCTGGATTAGGGGGAAAATGTGTTATCCCCACTTCAGCAGAGAGGAGGGAAGCACAGAACTCCTGAGTGACAGCGAAAGAAATCCCCTCACAGAGGTGAAGCTTCGAAACCTGGGAACTTTCATATGATTTTCTGATTCTGTCATTGATGTTGGCTAGTAAATCAGAATTTGACATCACAAAGAAAAGTTTGATTTGGAAGCCTACTAAGAAATAAAAATCAGGCTTAGCGCTTTCATTTACTCAAGACTAACATTCATATTTCTGAATTCAGTGTAGACAATGATCTTTATACTGACATATAATGTTGAAAACCCAAATTCAAATAATTTAGAATAATTTTGAAAACTGAAAATTCAGTTGCTGCTCTCCCAAGCACCAAGTGGACATCTGAGATGCCACCTGATTGGTGGTAAGAGAGATGTTGCTAATCAACCAGTCCCCATCATCCAAACTTTTATTCAATCACACAATTTGATCATCAGTTTTTTATTAAAAAATTACTCTAAGTATCTTGGTCATTGTCTTTGCTGCGTTATAACAGCAACACTTATTTCAGTTTTAAGATTTTCTATTGAATTCAATGGTGTTCTAAATCAACTCACTCTTTATGAAAATCCAAGTGAGCCAGCAAAGTAGTACCTGACGGGGCTTGAAATGTAGGGGGTTTTTTTCAGACTCAGGCTTTCTAAAAGGAGTGAGCTGTTTTGCATGTACATTTTGATAAACTGCTGTCCAAAAGTCATCCCAAGAAGTTGCAGTTATCTTGTTTTTATTTGCTTGTTCATTTTTTTTTATGATACACACATATTAGACTGCCACAGCATAGTATGAATATTGCTCTCTTCACAATGAGGACATGGTCTCACTGTACTGGGTCTGGGGATTTTTTGCATGACTTCACTAGTAACACATTATTTCAGGTCACATTTTATCAGCTAGCTCAACAAGAATGCCAGTGACTTTCACCTTGTTCCAGCTCCCTGTAAACATAGTAATTGCCAAAATTATATTGTCTTTTATTTACTTAACAAGCAGTACTTTTCAAAATAAATAGTCTGTCATGAGCAAACACAAATGCTAGCAGCAGTCATAAGTCTTCCATGCTTTCAAACACAGCTTCTAGCATTTTAAAAGCAGACTGAGAAAACACTGGTGTGAGGAAGAGGTGCTTCAGCCCACTGTCTTGCTTGAACTTTCCCCACCAATGTCCTGTTGCCATTATTCCGGGCATTGCTCCACCCACGGGTGACAGCAATAAGTACTTGCAAAGCACCAGTGGGGTTATCAGCCTGCCTAACCTTGTCAAAGTGTATCAGACTGTTTGGTTTGCAGAGGCACATTTTTCTTGCCATTACTCTGGTCCTTTTCTACCAGGGATGAATGGCCACAAGATGTTTCTAGGAGCAGGCAGAAAATATCTAAGGAGGCAATATGTGAGCTTCCTGTCAAGTGGACATTTGTATTTTTAACATCGTTTCTCTGCAAACATGTGTCATCACTTTTGTCTTTTACTCTGCTTAGGTCTTGGTCTTGCACACACATTGGCGCTTCATACTGCCCAGCATCTGACTGAGTGCTTTCAGCTCAGGCCTCCTCCGTAAGTTAAGTTAGTGGGAACTTTCTGCATGATTTCAAAAGGTGTATGCTTGATGACTATCTAACCTAATATATGCTTGTGGTAGGATTTTCAGCACTACTTTGCAGAAGTTTTCTGTACAGGTATGAGACAATGGAAGATCTCTTATTTTAAAGCAATCTTTTTTTTTAATTAGGAAAGATTTCATCTTGCTTTACTATAAAATTAAGTGTAGTTATTATTTTTAAGTACCATTCTAATTTTAGAAGGTGATAATTTAGTATGTTAGACTGTCGTAATCTAGGGAACAGGCAGAATCCTCTCTGACAGAGTTCTAAACAATTGTACCTTCAAACCCTTAAAAGTTATGATATGCAGTTTTCCCATTTCCCTCTATCCCATCGAGCATATATTAGTCATTCTTAGTATAAACTATTGAAATTATTCAGCCAGTTCACAGTGTTGTTTTTAAAATGAAAAATGCTATGATCTTTTAATGTCTTCAGTGTTATAATATGTACTAAATTAGAAGAACCCTGATGCTCTGATAATTTACACCACAATGTGCTATTTAAAACTGGAAGCCCAGCAGGAGATTTTATTTTTATTAATTTAGTATAATTTTAAACATTACAAAAATAGCTGTCTCACAGCTTCCCTGCTGAGCCCTAGATTGTTGCCACAGCCTGTGCAATACTTTATCAGGAGAGTAACATCACTATAAATACTGCATAGTTGATTCTGGCTTCAACACAGAATACAAAAGGATGCGGAAGACTGAAGAAGAGACAAAGAAAAAACAGGGCTTGCTTTGTTTTACATTTTGTCTGCCTTTTTTTCCCCTGCTTGCTTCTAAAACTTCTTTTCTTACAGGTTTTTCTCTAAGGGTAGCTGTGAATTGGTAGTCAAGGCCAAAAGGCTGAAGATCCACATTGTAGTTAACTTCAGATGTATCACACAATGCTGCTGTAGGAAAATGAGTTTTACTCTACCTCCTTTGTCTATTGCCCTGCCATTCTTGTGGATTAAACATTAGTGGAATATTACTGTTCAAGTCTAACATGTATTATTAAGAGCAACCTCCTATGAATTGCAGCTTTCCAGTTTTATGTACACAACTGGCTCACATCTGCTCTCCTTTGTGTGTATTTAGTGAACTTACATCTGCCTGATAAAAAAGGCAACTGTCAGTTACCATATCCAATCTCTCAGCAGCACCAGGGATGTCAGATCCAGTAGGCATAACATCTTTTGGCCCTTTTATCATGCTTGTCACCTCTTTGAATGAGCTGAGTTGACCAAAAACTCTTGCCAGGAGTGCCACCTTCCAAGGAGCCTCTGCCCCTTCAGCAGCAGAGGAGTCTTGGCAATGAAGCAATATTTGCTGTGCAAAAGATGTGGTTTCAGGTACCAGCTGCACTTTTCATAAGGGAAAGCTGGGATGGACTGCTGGAGGGGAGAACAGACTGTGATTGAAAGTTATTTTAAAAAGATATGAGCTTCTAAATTAAAATTAATTGTGAAACTCTTCAGTGCCGATGTTATTTATATTTATTTACTGATCAGTATTACAGTTTATATTACAGAAATTTATAGAATAATTTAATTTATTAATTTTTTACCGGCTGGCTGTATCTTCTACCTGGTTTCCAGGTAATATTCTTAAAGTAAAATGCGAAAACTGAACAAAACTCTATTCCAAATGTTTACAATGTACCATTGCAACTCTGGTAAGGCAAAGCATATTTCACTGGCAGCAACTGATTTCCTTTTAAAACTCCTGTAGTTTTCACAAAAATTATGTGACTTGACAGTAGAAATGTGATTAGTGCATAGAAATGTGATTAGTCCCCCATTTGAACAAGAGGACCTTCTATTCAAAACAATTGGTGCTTAGATGTTATATGCCATATATATTTTGATTGAGTGACATGTAGGCAATTCAGCTGTGCCTCAGACAGGAGCTGCATGTTCACCTTTCTGGGGCAGAGAAGGAAGGCAACCTTCTTCCTTGATGAGCCACCAATTAACCCTAATTAAAGAAATATTTTTCTTTGAATAATATTATTACTGACTAAAAGTCCTCCTCGGCTAATTAACAGGCAATTGGCCACCCCACCTGTATGGACTGAGAGCTGCTCAGGTAAACATTTTCATCACTGAAATATTTGTTGTTAAAAATTCTTTCTCTGTCCCTTGTGCTGTGATGTTTACACCTGTGTACACACATACAGGAAATAACAATTCATTTGCAACTCTCTTCTTTTTCCACAACTGCCAGGAGAATGTGAGTGAGGTAAGTCATTCCAAGGATATTGGAAGAAATGAGGCATGAAATAAAAGCCTTCCTGCACTATCTGCTGATCCTCAGGAATGTAAGGCAACCTGCTGTATTAAAGAGAAGCATCCAGGCTATTAAGTAAGGCACTAGGACAGCGAGGAGTGAGTCCTGTGTGAGACACTCGTCTGAGATGATGACATCAATGTCCTCAGAACTATTGCTCCAAGTTCATGATTATGAGATCTGCAAGATGTCTCACATGTTATTCTTGTTCTTGGCAATGTCAGGGGACTTAAAAACAAGATTTTACATAATGCACTTTTCTTTTTTTAGACATTTTATGAACTGGGTGTACCCACTGACTGTGTTACAAATAACGTAGTATTGAGCAGCTTTCTGCTATTAATATTATTAGTCATACTAATTAAGTTAATCAAGCGAATCAATCCCAGCAGTGTTCCAGCTGTTTCATGAACAAAAGCTGAAGGACTCTGAATGGCTTGTACGGAGCAGTGTCCTGTAGAAAAAAGTGGGATTTTGCTACTTAAGTCTGGAATTTTCTTTTCACCTGGTGAAAGGTTCTTATCCGAATTAGTTCTGCTGTTAACTCAGTAGGCTTGCATGACAAGATGACTCAGAAAAACACTGCCACAGACCAGTAGTGGAGGAGATTTTGGGTTAGGAGGATTTGGAGGTCTTGCTCTGAGGACATTGAAACAGCCCTATAGAATGATAACTGTCCTGAAAGGAATATTGATATATAGGTATCATTGTCTTTCATTAAATTGCAATAGGAAAGATGACATTGCAATAGTGATTGGACCAGCATGATAAATTCAGGTTTAATATTGTCTTCATGTTGAACCAGAAATCTTCATCCTGTTAGTCCAGGTAGCACAAGTTCTTTATATTTCAGCAATAAGATCTAACATTGCACAGTTGTTCCAAAGTACATAGAAAATATGTGGTTTTGTAGTCTTTTTCTATTCATATCTCATCCATAATACTGCTACAGAAGCCAAAATATGAGAAGATTTCTGATTTGTCTCTCCAAGAACAAACCTACTGAAAAATAGATGTTTTGGTGTGGAGAGCCATGTACATGGATGTGGAAAAAAGCACATATAAACTTAATGTTTTTCTTGTGTTGTAAAATGGGGATTTTTACATCAGATTATGGACAGCAGGTTATGACTTCTGCTAAGAATACTACACATGTATGTACAGATTGTGAATTCTACATTTTTTTAAAACTTGAAATTAAATGTGTTGTCTGTGACAAACATTAGATTGCAATTCTCCAAGACCAGTTATCAATTCACTATATTTTCATGAAGAGTAAACATATAAAATAACTTCAAAGAATCATGATGTTGTTTGCCATAAATTATATTTTTAGTAAACTATACATAAATTACCTATTAGTTTAAAGGTACATACATTTTGATCTATTCACATTTGCTTGAGCCACAGCTTGCCTAAGACCACAGGCATTACAAAAAAATATTCTAGATATGCTAAAAACTGCTTGAACCTTTTTCATTGTTTCTTAGTAAGGCACATACAGCTTTTTATTAAATTATTTTCTAAATGTTATTTTGTAAAGAAATTTAATAAAATTTACTACTCTGCAATCCATTGAGCACTTCCTAATTTAATTTTCATATTCTGCATTTCCTGGGATTTACAATTAAAATCGTGATGAGCCAGACATTCAAAGTCTTACATGTGTGAGATTTTATTATTTTTTTAAATAAAAAAATATCAACAAGATTTTGGTTTTGTAAAATATTTTCAAACTAAAAGGTGCAAGTAAGTGAGGCCTTTTATACATAGATTATGAAGTTTTTACTAAGTTTCACAAACTTTTTTCTCTTCTTCTTACTTCTTTACCCACTCAACCCATTGGCAAAGTAGACTGCTTATGCCAATGCCAGATACAGTTAATAGAAAATAATAGCTCTGATGTTTTATACTCTCCGACATTGATCAAATAAAATTAAAAAATCCTATTCTCCAGAACAGACACTGTCATTAAAATTCTTGCAGATTTATTTACATAAAACTCAGCGTGTTTGTAACCAAGAATGAGCCATTGTGCTCAAGAGTTAGCTCATTTTACTACTATTTTATTATGCAAAGTTCTTGGAGATCCCTGCAGATCAATACCTTTATTTCTTGTACAATAATAATGCCTTTATTTTTATTTTGCATTTAGGACACATTTTGAACCTTACAGAATATTGCCAAGTTTGCATTCATTTCTTCACCCATTTTCTGAAAGACTATGTGGTGTTGCACCACTAGCTCAGAAAAAGAAGCACTCCAAACACACCTTAGGGGTTCTGGGTCACCTAGACCTTCTTATGATCCTGCTAGGTGGAATAATTTATCCTGTCCTGAGCTTGGTGAGGATATTTTACCTAGTCTCTGAACTGAGTATGCACTAAAAGTACAAATGCAGTAATGTTTGCATTTACTCAGTTATTCAGCCAAAGTCACTCAGGACTCCAAGGAGCAACTTGCAGTTTTGAAATTGATGTTCAAACTTTCACCATTTTCATATACATAGAGCTCTTCTCAAAGTTTTGTAGTAATTTAAATTGAAGTTATTTTGTATGGTTTGAAAGTAGCTTCTCTTTAGGCTTATATTGGAACAATAATATACCTAGTTTATAGGAGGACACGTTTAAGGATTGAGAGCCTTCTATAACTTCCACCTTACAGAAAAAAAAACTGCAAACCCAGATTTCATAGATGTCACTAGGAGACCATGACAAACATTTGGCTCCAAAAACCAAACAAGCTCACAGGGCAGTGCAGTGCCAGAAGAGTTGTAGACTTAGAGGGCTTTGTAGTTTGGCTGCAGTTCTGAAATAACATTTGTTACAAAAAACCCCAGTTCTAATAATTTTCTGGGTCTGCCTAGGCTCCTCTCAGCGTTGGAAATCAGTGCTCTGCCACTGGATTTCTGTCAGCAGTGAGTTGTTTCTTAGGTGTTTAATTGGGAAGGAGCAAAATACGAGTGCCACCCATGTGATGACTGGGACAAGGGATGCCTTGGTTTAACAGGATACAGCTGGTCCTCTTGGATGCTGAGCCCTGCTCAGGGTAGACTGCAGTGGAATGCATAATGGAAATGGTGTCAGAATGAATAACACACATGTGCACATAATGTTGCCTCCACTGTGGTGTTTTTAGACTTTCCAGCATTACTTCAAGGTCTCTTACAAGACACAAGTTTGCTGAATAAAAAAATGTAATTCAGGTCTTAAGCAAAAATGGTGTATATGAGGTAAGAAAACAAGTTATAATTTCAGGTGCAATTCTAATCAATATTACTGATAGTAGACTGTTCTGCTTTTATTTTTTTTTTTTTTTATTATTTTTAAGAATTATCTTTGAGTGGCTCCTAAACTTTGCTTAGAACTTAAAGAGCTGATTTCAACAGAAAGGGTTTGCAAGGAAGAAATTATACCATATTTTGCTAGATTTCTTCACTGAGTGGCCTTTTGATCTCTTCCAACAGACATGTTTGTAGCACCTACTGACAAGATGCCAATCAATTATGGAGAACAAATGAGTCAGGGAAAAAGCAAGGGCTTCGTATTACAAGCAAAGGATCCTTTTTGTCTATCTCTAATCACTGTCTCAGCCACAGCAGTTGAAAAGGAGGATAGAGGACAGATGCTTCTAATATTCTCCAAGTTTTTGAGAATTTTGTATATAAGTCAAAAAACCCCATGAATATCAACAGCACTATCTCTTAGAGAAGTTATGATCTTTAGTGTCTCTCTCAGATTTCCATAAGCCTGCTTATACACATTCTCAAGGAGTTATACTCGTGTGCAATTAAAATGAAATACTAATTGATATTAAAAAAAAAGACTGTGCTTGCAGAATATAACTCCATTCTAATGAATTTCATAATACATTTATTCAGTGGAGAAAAGACTTTTTTTAGCCAGCAAAATCAATTTTCTGATCTCCAAATGGACATTTTATCCTCTACTCTTCTGATCTTCTGGTGGCATCATGAATTTCACAGACAGCTTTGTTAATCAGCAGAGTGCTTCAGAAGAGAGTTTCCTCAGCTAAATATAGTTACTATTTCTCTTTAAACATCCATGTTTTAAGTTCCTGAATTATAACTTTGAACCCAACATTCCTACAATATTGTTGTACTTACAGTATGCAAGAGGCTAAGGTAGAGTTAATTAGTTCAGAGAATACTGCGAGTGGTTCAGACTATAATTTATGGGGACTATATTGTGGTTTTTTTATAAAAGAAATATATACATTATTAATTTTGTACCTCAGTATTCCTATGCCTTTGCTGGCACTTTCACCAAGTTTTTTTTTTCTGAAATTTCAGATTGTGTTATGGCAGATTAAGACATCTAAATTGTATTCCACGTGTCAGTGGCCTTCAAAATAGGAAGTACTCTGAAATACGTGTTTCCATTTGCTGCCAACTTTAACTTTTTAGTGTTTGTTTTATTTTTATTTGTTAGTTTGTTTTATTTCTCTGTTTTACTGTTGAATTCTGGTATTTATTCTGGTCTGCTTGATATAAGCATTGACTTTAAACTATTCTAAGAGAAATTGTTCAATTGAGAAGAAGGGAAAAATGTTCCTGCTTGAGAGCATCATGATAAAATGATTACACATGCTCACATAAAATGAATATTTATGTTATTCTGTCTCTGATAAGTTCAGTACTTTTGTAACTGTCACATAGGTTAAGACAGAAATCTTGTTAATTGTCTAGAGAACAAAAGTAATCTCACATATTCTGGAAGCCTTCAGTGATAGCTGTGTCACACAGCAGAATAATCTTATGCAACATGGATTAAGGTGTACAGTGACTCTTTAGCTAAACTAGATACATGTTTTGAGTTAAAGTCTTAACAATCAATGATGAAAACATGTCAGCACTTCAAAAGATTGTTCCATCTTCAACTACTTTGTATTTCCTTAGTTTTCTCTATTGTGAATAAAAATTAAGGAATTAAGTTTTATCTGAAAAAATTTATAATTATTTTCAAACACTTTATATCCAGCTTTATCTGTTTATATATAAACAATATTCTTGTTCTGTTGTCAACGTTACTGAGCTTATTTCTACTAACACATCACAACTATGTACTAAAAAGCATAAACTGTATATTGAAATCTATCCATTATGTAGATACCAGCAATGCTTATGTTACAGAGGTTTTGGTGTTCTTTTTTGGTTCTGAGACTGGAATAAAGAATGAACACTTTGGTTTACAATCTAATTTGGGGGAAATGAGAAGTGATGAAATGTCATGAAAAGAAAACAAACCTCTGAAATAAAGCAGAACTATTACACAACACAAATAAAATAACTCCTCTGTAACTCGTAAACAACACTAATGTCCATTCCTATTATTCACTTATTTGTAAATAACTGACATTATGGCTGTGCTTAAAGTCAAGCATGTCACTATTGCAGCAGTGTGGACACCTGTTGCTCCTTACCCAGTAATTCCTCCACTATACAGCCTTGTAAAAGGGATCCTGACTCTTTTGTCTGCCTCAAATCAGCACAATTTGCACAAGATGGGAGAGGAGTTTGCTGAGCAGAAACGTCCAGAACCACCCAATTCACACTGCCAGTAAGGGTGTAAGTGTCAAAAGAGAAAGGGCTAGAGCTGCCCTGTGATCTTTTCCTGAAGCACAACCAGTACCTTTCCAGGCAGTGGCATAGAAAGGGCAGCCAGGCTGTAAGTGTGCTCCAAGGAAAATGCAAATATTGCCACTGTGGAAAAAACCTGGTTGAAGCTGACACTTCTCCAGGCAGATTTCTCAGCCCAGTCAAGAGTCAGCTGAAGAATAAGAAACAAAACTCCCTGACAAAATCTCTCTGCATCCTATCAAGTGAGACACAAATCTGTAGTACTTACAAACTGCAGTGACACCATTCTAAAACAATGGCATCAAACAGCAACATCCAAGGCTTCATGAACACAATTTACAATGTGTATAGCACACTATTGCAATTGCAGATGGCCCATATAGCAAAAAAGTAAAAACAGGTTTCTTTTTATGCATTTAGGTTGTAGGTAAATATTGGTTAAATCTGTTCTGTTTACATGGATTTCCAAGGTATCAGCCTGAGAAATCATGAATCTCAATAATGCATAGGTGATGGAAACACTTACTGTGCCTTTGAAGTATTTTTTGCATTTGAAACTCATGTATACAAAATACATTTCCAATATCTCTCTCAATTTTCTTTGATATCTAAAAGTGTACATGTGATTTAATTCATGAAAATATTTCAAAGTTCTGTCCTTTTCAAATCAGTATTAATACTTTTATTTACTTCAATAAAGAAATTATTTCACCATCAAAAATATAATCATTCTACATTTCCCCAAATCAGCTGGTGGAAATAATTTCTAAGATTGCTTCTTTTCCCTCTTTAATTATTTTAGGAATGGTTTCATAAGAACTATACTTTTACAGCTTCAAGGAAACACATAAGTTTCATAGTCATTAAAGACTATGCATTTTTCTTTAATAAATAACTCATTTTCTGCTCACTGGAAATTTTGGCTCTGTCCTATAAGATATACAAAACTTATACTTGTGTTTTGGGGTGAGATTTTTTGCATGTGTGTTTTGCTTTTTTAAAAAATAGAAAAATAGAAATCTGTGTGTCTGATGAGTTGTAAGTGCTTGTGTCTAGTTTGCATTATTTTTTTTTTATTGAGTAAATGAATTAAAAATTTTCTGTTAAAAATTGGTTAGTGGAAACCAGAAAATATGGACATTTTCTGTGTGTCATGACTAGGTTTCACAATTGCCTTTTGAGAAGTACATGTAATACAATACTTATCTTCACTTTGTGATATTTATTTGTGGAGTATAATTTTATAGGATATTTTCTTATAAAACAAACTCCTGTCAATAAGGCTTTTGCTTAAAAATAGTAATAACAAACCCTTGTGTCTCAGTCAAATTGATTTTTCTGATGAGAACCTTGGAAAAAGTTGTTATTATTTTTTAATCCATCACACAGACACTATATGAGAATAAATCAATGCTGCAGTTTTAGTTTATTGTATATCTCTTTTTCATGGCCCTTCATTTTCTTCATTCCTCACCAAAGAACAACCAGTCGATCAAAATTTATTAGCTAGTGTTGACCTATTTGGATCTAGTTAGAAACTGTGGTCTCCTACCTTGGCCTTTTAGTGAAATTTTCTATGTAGCTGACCAGAAATACTATTATGTTTGAGAATTTGAATCTACTTTAGTGTTCCCCTAAATTTAAGGGCTTAAGAATAAGTTTTAGACTTCCTGTATTGCTATTAAAGGAGAATGAAGGTCCTGTTTAATTTATTAAAGATGATGGACTTGCATTATTATTAGAGTAGTAGTATTTTATATAAAAGCCAAAGGAGGATGTTCATTTATAAGGCAACTTTTCCCAGAATTCAAATTGGTGGTAATAGCTAATGGACAGTTAAAATGTGGTGTTAGTCACCACTTGACATTGTGAGCTATGGCTGAAGTAGGTGAACACCTCTGAGTGCTAAATGATCCTTGGGGTAGGTGATGGAAGAAACACATACTCGGATTGGACTCCACAGATTCGAAGATATGGCAACGTTCTACATTACATCTTTCAAATAATAAGGCAGTCCTACAAGTGGTTGATTGAGAAATTATATTATTTTACTCTGTCTTACAAATCAAAAGCAGGAAACACTGAAAAATATCTTGCCTTTCCATCAAAGAATTGAATAATCCTTGTATTTTCCTTTACTGATACTGAGTGACTAAGGATGACAATCTCTCCACTCCTCTGATGGGCAGAGATGTCATATCTTACTTTCTCAATACAAATGTTTCTGAAAGAGGATAGTATTTACTAAAATTGTCCTTATTTTAGAAATACATTTTCTAATCTGATGTACTATTTATTAAATAACTTCTTCAGTGACTGTGTATATCTTAGTGCATACTCTCATAAAATCTGCTTTTTGTGTGCTCACAGTGCTGCTTTTCTTTTCTGGATTAAAAAAATAAAAAAGGGCAGGAAAAAAGGTTACTGTGCAAGTGAAGTCCTGAAAACTATTTCTGGAAATAACCACAACTTTGGATGTTATTAACACGCAAACAGAAGAATTCCTAGTTCATAATGACCTTTAATTAATGTAATAGAAACCCCAAGTCAAGACTGAGTTTTATTCCCAAAAAATATATTAAACATTATGAACTTAAATTAAGAAAGAATAGGAAAAAAGTACCATCATTTTTACTCTAAAACATCCCCCCCCCCAAATGACAAGGGGCACATTGATTACTTCTTTAAAAAATTGCTTTGGGCAAAATGACTTATGGTTTTGCCTGCCTTACATCTCTACAAATTTCCAGTTCAATGTCTCTATTCTCAATATTGCATCTTTCTTTTGATATTAAGGATTTTAATTAGTGTTCATCAATATTTGTAATAAAGGAACCTGGGAGAATCTCCTGTTGAACAGTCTCACACTTCAAACTTGTACTATTTCCCTTTTTCCCCAGTAACCGCATGTCCTGCTTGAAACATAGCAGCTGCTAAATATGATACCATCGTTGTCACTACCTAAAAAAAAGTTTCTAAAATAAATTTTGTCCCACAACAGACCTAAATTAAGTTCATCTATGTGCAAGTGAATCAAATCACTCTATGAACCCTGATTTTGTTATGTTATTCAAAAGAAAAATACCTTTCTCTTCAGGTAGATAAATGCACCTATTGTAGAGGTACAATGCTACATAGTACAATACGAAGCAAAAAAGAAAGGCACAGACATGTAATGTTGGAGGAGTGTGGGCCTCTCAGGAAGGAGCAGTAAGGGGGCTCCAGCAATGCCTCCCCTGCTCCTCTCAGAGGTTCCCATGGAGGGGTTCAGGTTCTCACAGCAGGGCTCAGGTCAATGCTTTGCACCAGCACAGCAAGGCCCACTCTGCAATCTGGTGGTTCCTGTGTGCTCTGCAATGCCTAGGGAGGGCATATGTACAATCTTAATATCCAGGAACAATCACAAGGCATAAGCTCGAAACGTCAATCAAAATGGGAACCATTTGAACATTCCAAAATGTTTTGCTTTTTGTTTGGTTTGTTAAGTTGCTGTCCCTAATTATATTTCTTATACTCTCTTTAGTATGAGGCTTCACAGGAAGTTTGACAATGTATTTGTTTACTTGAGACTTCAGCCCTTTGCCTTTGCCCAGAGGCACAAAGCAAAGTCAGAAGTTTAACAATTTTACCCTTTTCCTTGGTTGCTATCTTAACCAAACGAGCCTTTTGAACTTGTCTTGAAGACAAGAAAACTTAAGGAGAGGAATAAAGATAATCAAAAGTAAGCAGGATGCCTAAAAATTGTGTTTCTTATTTCTTAAAGCCAGCAGGACTGATCCTTTACACACAATTAAGCCTCAGTTCTCAGTATCTCTTTATAAAGAGATACTTTATAAAGACAAATTTCAGTGTTGGTGGTTGAAACACACCATATTCAGCTCACTCTTGACCCACCTGCAGTGGTGAATAAAGTTGCTGAGAGAGCAACCACAACCTATTTGTCACCTTGTTATTTGCTGGTGAATATCCTAAAACACTTGTAGAGCTGTTGATTCTTTGGTGTTTTTCAGACTATCATAAGTCTTTTTGCTACAGTATGACTCTCACTCTTTCTGTAGTTCTCAAAACTTCTGGCCTCAGACACGTTGTGTGGCAGCAGGGTCCAAGGTACCTGCACTAAGAATAAAACAACCTTTCCTAATTATTTGTAAAAGTGTTGCAACTGAATCTTATCCACTCTTTGCAGTTTGAAAGACAGGTAATACCAGCATCAGAATTTCAATCCAAATACAATGTATTATTTTATATAATTGTCCTGTGACTGTCCTGGTGTGTGAGTATTTATGTATGAACATATAAATATCTGTTTAAGTAAATTGCATCAGTAACCCCCTAAATGATGTGAAGATTGAAGGCTTTTTACGAAAATACTGGACTTTGTATTTACAAATGTATGTGACTTTTTGAAGAAAACAACAGATCAATAGTATGGTGGCCTAACTTCAAAATCCATTGACATTAAATTTACAGTTTTATACCTGTGACAAGACATGACATAAAGTGAAAGAATATTGCTCTGCTATCCCCTAGTTGCCAGTTAATTCTAAGAAATAGTTATTTAAGGTTCATGAACCAAATAAAACAACCTTGGAAAAGAAAGAAAAATGTCTTTGTGTGTTTTATGTGTATGGTGGAATTGCTGAAACTTTTAAAAATATCTTGAAATAATCATAGGAGAATGTATCAGAGTTCTTCTGGCAATGGCTCAGAAATGTGAAACTATTGTCATCTTGACATTCACCACTGATAAACACACTGTGCACACTAAATCAAAATGGGTATAAAAGTGTGCCATGTGACAGGATAGCCTTTGCCAAATGGGCTGACCTGCAATGAAAAAGTCAATCCTCTTCCTCTTTTTTTTTTAACTGAAAAAAAAATATAGCAGCAATAATAAGAGTAAAAGCCTCAATAAAATCTGTCAGAATTGATTTTTAGTGACACATAATGTCTGGCAATTTAAAGCTTTATTTTGCCAACTGTTTAATCTGTACTACAAGTTAAAGTGTTCCATATGCATAACTTCCCATTTCAGAGATGATCCTGTTTAAAGATTTGTTCCAGCAGCATTTATTTAATGACCTTTATAAAGACTTTTCTCATTCTTCTGTGAGTTATATTTAAACGAGGGAATAATAAAATTAAAGTGCACAATGGGAAAAAAAATCTCCATTACCCACTACTTTTGTTCAAAACTGTAATTACTTCTTAGGCAACATTAATGAGGAAGCCTGGGAATATAGGCATTCCAATCTTGGAAAAAAAATAAACCAATGGTCATTATTTGCATCCTTTTCGTGCCCAATCATACATTTTTTGTCACATAATACCTGTGAAGAAAACTCACATGCACTGCAATATTCACTGCTATGGCTCCCTTATTCTATTGATTTAAATATCTTTTTGCTTCTCCCTACTCAACAGGAAGTATGAGGTCATTGCTATAGCTGAAGCACATCTTGATAGAGCACTATTCAAACCAGATATACACCATACTTTATATCATATTTTGAATTATTTATCTGTCATGGGAAATAACAGGAGAGGAAGGAGTTAGCTGGGTGTTTGAAAGGAATGTGGCAAAAGAATTAATGTGCAGGTCCAGCCGCACAAAATCAGATGTTGAGTCCTGGTGCAAAGAGTCAGAGTCAGTGATGGTGGTAAAGCTCTTGGTAACACCAGGAGAGCAAAGAGGGTCATAAATCCAGGGAAAGGCTATCACATCCTGTAAACCAGGTACAGGTGAAACAGAGTACTAACTTCCAATGGACCGTGGAATATGGCTGCCTGAAACGTGTGTTTAAAACTGACACGTGCACACAACCCTGCCATTCAGAAACTTTCATCTATCTGTACAAAGTACTGAGGAAAAGGTTAATCAAGAGTGCTGTATGGCTTAAGGAAATGCACAGAGTGGCTGGCTGATTTGATTCATGTGTCCCAGTGACAAAATTCTTTCCTGGAGATCCATAATGTCTGGGTTCTTAATTATCTGGTCTTCTGTGCATGTATGTGTGTATTTTAAAAATGGCCGATAAAATTTCAGCCAAGAAACACACTGTTCATTCCTTTCAGGTTTATTTTAAACCTATTGCGCTTAGGTTTCAACTAAATCAATTTTTCATGAATATCTATCCTAGCAGATTACACCTCAAACCAGTTCAGATCTCCAGAGAATTAAAAAGAAAAAAAAAAAAAAAAGAAAATAGAAAGAGAAAAGATTTCTCAACAAGTAACACCCCAGGAAAAAGAAACAGGGTTTTTAATTGCTTTGTGTGCTCCATAATTGAAGGCAGGCAC